AACTACTCAATACATAATAATTGTCTTAATAATCAGCTACCATATAGCTCCAAATTTTCGTCAGTCAAAATTTCGTCAAAATTTTTAATTCTTGTTAAAATTAATTTTTCATCAATAAAATTTTCGTCAAAAAACTTTTTGTCAATTTTGTAATTAATACCAAGACCCATGTGGAAAAAAATTTTCGTCGGGTTGAAATTTTCGTCAAGCAAAATTACCTGATGAATTTGAGGAAAATTTTGACCAACAAAAATTTGGAGCTATACAGTACTCACCTCAAGCTCCTGGTGAGTGTGACTAGCACTTTCACTGGTACTACTGTCTGAATCATTCTCATTATATTCAAAAAATTCTAAAACTAAATTAAAAAGAAGAGAAACACAGCAATTATTTACCATTGCAGCCTATGGCTCTAACAGCTTATTCCCACAATGGGGTGTGGCACTTGTCAACGTGACGTGACGTGATCATAGATATTAGAGTAAATGAAAGGGATTGGAAACGGGGCGTAGCAACGAAAAATGCTAGTTGGGACCGTAATTATTCTATTTAGATATCTATCCATATTATTATCCATAGATATTGGAGTAAATGAAAATGGTGAAGTTGCTCTGGAAGGATTTTGAAGGAAATTTGTGTTGCTCCAGGACAACGCTTGCTTATGATCTATAGCCTATTGCACATATAATTTTTAGAGCTACCTACAGCAAGTTTTTTGTCTCTGTAAAGCTATGTTGCAATCAGTTATAGGTACAACAAAATCAACTATTTTTGGCACACTTTAGCTCTTGTAACAAACTCATACTTCATAGATTCTAACTCTAACCTGTATAATTACTTTGGAAAGTGTAATGTCTTTCATATGATTATAATGGTTTCCAGTTTTACTTAAGCATGTTTTGAGAAAAGGGAGAATAATGACATAAATGGTATTTTTAGATGGAAAATGTGCCGTATCATTAAAATTATAAAGTTTTTGGTACAATAGATAACAGTAGTGTTGAGAGGAAACATTAGGCTTCTTGATGCATAAGTTTCACTAACATGAGAACAGTCTTTCGCCAGATATTGCTCCTAAAAGAAGGAAAAGTAGCATGAAAATGGTGACAAAATCCCAACCCGCCTCGGTTTGCTTAGTAACAATATACAAATGAATGGAGGTTGGGCTACGCCCACGCACCCGTTTCCAATCCCTTTCATTTACTCTAATATCTATGACGTGATGCAGTGATGATTCATATCCTCAATTAAAATCATGAATAGTCTCGGTTTAAGTAGAAACATTTAGCAGACCGGTGTGAGTGGCAGAAACCCTCGCAGTAACCAGTGTGAGTAACCTTGGACATTAGACTATACAGCAGCAAGTTATTTCAACTGCAGAACATGGCTGAATCAAATCCATCATTAACAATTGAATCAGCAATCGATGGTAAGATTAAAACATTTGCTGTAGTACCCGAGGCTTTGGTGCATTGCCTCAATATCTATGATATTAAAAAATACACCTCCACCATATAGTGCTGTGGGTTGTGTCAGAAGTGATTTGGAATTAAAGGTTGCTCTTCTATTTTGAAAATAAAAATAATGCATGGAGTTTTGGCAACATGCACCTGATTACACCAGGAAGTAGCCTTAATGTTAAAATTATTATTCTTATTATTTCCCTACTTGTCATTACATGTAATTCCAGGGGTCAACAATGTAGAGAGTGATAGACCCACACTTTAATTAGATTTCTCTGATAGAATAATAATAATAATAATAGATTCTATTACAACAAATAAAAAATTAATGTTAAAAAATGAGTTATCTAGATCTACTAGTATACAATAAAATTTTCTTTGATTGTCATGGGAAAATAATATATCAGCTAGTAATAATTGCTCCATGTATCAACAGCAATGAATCAGCAGCAGTTACCCGGTATTATGACTATACATAGAATGATAAGAGTATAGTAGAAACACAAACTGCACAGTTATCACTTGCTTACAAAAACTACTCTATCTCTATTACTCTATCACTGTTTATACATAAAATTCCTTTTTAATATAGCACTCAATGTTTTATTTTGGTCATTTTGTTATAAAAATGATCTGAATTTAGTGATTTGTGATTTTACGCCATATAGATGAAGTCTGCATGTATGCCACATTTATGACAAGCATGTGACCATATATACATTAATATAATTGGCAGTTGCGTTGTTGGTAATTTGATCACAAACTTATTAATCACCAATACAAAAATCAAGAGTACTCTTGATCTATGTCTTGATCAAAATAATTGAAGCACTATAACATACAATAATTAAAACTAGAGCCAGAGTGCTTTTAATAGTAAAGCAATTAAATAAAATCACTATTAATTAAATGATTTAAAAGCTGCTTTGCATTGTTATTCGTTTGCAGGTAGTCTTGAAAGCTCTAAAGTAGTCAATGCACCCGCTGCAAAGCCTGCTTCAAAAATAGGTAATACTTTTTAACAACCTGGGGGCGAAGCCCCCAGGTCGTTCCTATAATTGAATTCACCGTCGCGCTATGTATATATAATTATATATTTATTTGTATGTCCACACTTACATTTCTTCTATACACGTTGTATTGGTAATTGGAGAAATAACAAGCCTTAACAACCACCCGCCCACGCTCCTTTACGTGAGTGGGTGTGGCACGGCAAACAAAATGGCGGCTTACACATGGGACAAAGTTAAGAGCTTTCTAACAGCAAGAGAGCATAGAGATACTGTCTAAAGACTTCTCTGAAAGCATTATAAGGTAGAGAGAACCTCTATAAGTCTTAATAATGACCAAGTTGTACTTGCAAGGTGGTGAAATCAATTATAGGAATATTTTTTACCCTGTTACGCTTGTTAGTTTTTTAACTGTACACAATACAAAATTAATTAACTAATGGACCTTTTGCACTTAAGCGATTCTAATTAACGCGCACCCAAAGTGGTGGTAAAATGGCGGATTTTTGGAGGAAAAACAGGCTGAACAATCTTCTCTTTTATCCAGCCATTCTAGCTGTAGGAACCACTTTGAGCTGTCCTTTTGTTTCAGTATACTCTGTTTATCTCTTCTGTAAGTTCTTTGGTTGCTATTTTGGCTTTTATAGCATTTTATCATAGGAGTATTCTCATCCATTGGCAACTTATCATTTCTTATGCCCTTGCTATAATTGTATCAGCTCCCATCATACATGTACATAACTCCATTCATTCATGCACTAAGTTATTTATTTATTTATTTATTTATTTTTTTTATTTTTATTTTTTTTTTTCATTTTTTTTCTTTTTTTTTTTTTTCTGGTTCCTGGTGAGTTTACCAGGTTACCATCAGCACTCTAACTCCCTGTGTTTTCATTCTACTATTGTGCTGTAGAGTTTATTAATAATAATAATAATAATAATAATAATAATAATAATAATAATAATAATAATAATTCCCGTTTTTCTAAATTTTGCTTTCAGGAGCCAAGGCACTTGCCCCTCCATTGCTATGAAGACAGAAGTGTATTCAGCTGAGTCCTATGAATAGTGTCAATCATCAGACCTAGTCTCAGTCCATCAGAACCAGGTACGGTGGAATAACTCACTCAGTTGTCATGTTGCAGCTGGAGTGTGGATGATTATGACCATCTTTTCACTTCTTAAAACTATAGGTTGGCTCTTTTATAGATAATTGAGGCATGCAAGAGCTCATTCTTTATCTGTACATTCACTGGTTGTATTGTATGAGCACCTCATGTCGTATTAATACCCCGTGTCGCTATCCAATACTTGCAGAGAGGAATCATCACATTCAGGACTCGTTCATGGCTCTACACCATTTGTATCCTCTCCCAACAGTTTTACTTATTATTTTGAATTATAAAAAAACATTATGGGTGTTGTTGCTAGAACTATTATTGTTGTTATCACTAGGTCACTACATTGATTTGTATAGACGACTATTTATGCATTTACACATACTTTATGATACTAACAGTATATACATAATAATTTGAAACTATCTCAACGATAACAAAGATAATTATTGTAATTAACAAATTTAACATCAATTTTTATTATAAATAAAATATAAAAATCATGTAACGAGGAAGTTTTACTTCATACTGACGTA